AGACAAAAGTGTAAAAAAATTTCTTGATTCGCCCCGCATGGCTCTATTTCATTCCTAAATAAATTAACAACAATAAAAAAACAAAAAAAAAAAATAGATTATTTTAATTTTAAAATACGAACAGGATGAGCAACGATTATATCTTTAAGAATATGTTCACATATATATTTACTTTTACCATATGGATTAGTAATAGTATCATCAATACATGGATGTTTTTCATCAAGTGGTAAATATTTAGATGTACCATAGACAGTAGCTGATGATGAAAAAACAATATTTTTAACATTAAATTCTTCCATACACTAAATAATATTCAAATAAATATATTTATTTAATAATTAGAAAACAATTACTGTAAGTAAATTAAGTAAACAACCCAATATTATTTTTATAATATAGAATTGGTTTTTGTACTGATTCACCAACTGATTTAAGTGCAGCACAATTAATTATTGCATAAATTAAATATTTTTTAAAAATATTTCGTAAATTTTCAATATCAAGACAATCAATTTTATAATTAATTATTTGACATCCAGTAATTCGTTCAACACGTTTTAAACATTCTAAAAAAGAAGTTTTTTCTTAATAGAATCAAATTTTCTATTTGATATTTTTTTAATTTCACCTGCTGATGAATTATGTTCATTATCTACTACAATTGGTCTATAACCAGCTGTAATCAATTCAATAACACAATGACTACCAATAAAACTAGCACCAACAGGGACAAGCACGTATTGTTTCTTTTGGTCACCTTTATAGAAGCATATATTTTATAGGTTCTTCTTTGAATTTATCATTGGATTTACAAATAAGTTATTGAAAAGTAATTTAACAACATTATTTAAGAGTTATGAACCGGTTTTGTCTAAGTCTGCAAATTGGTTCTCAAACTTTTTATTTTTATATAATTTTGTAAGGAACAACCTTACCTTCTGTTCTATACAAAAAATTGCTAATATATCGTATCTCATAACTCTTAAACCAAAAGCCGAGTTCTCGGTTAGGGGA